CTACTTTCTGCTATCAAATCTTTAAAATCTTCATACTGTCCTGGAGCAGACAACATTCCTAGTTGTGTTCTCAAGGAGTGTTCTAGTTCCCTATTACAGCCATTACTTAAAATCTTTAATCTGTCACTTGGTTCCTCAATCTTTCCAACTATTTGGAGAGAATCTTTTATTATTCCTCTTCATAAAAAGGGTGGTAAGTCTGAAATTTCAAACAAATACAGAGGTATTGCAAATCTGTCATATCTCCGGCTCAACATGGTTTCATAAAGAGATGGTCTACTACGACCAATTTGCTGGAATTTACTTTCTTGGTAAATGAAGCATTTACTCCAAAAATGCAGACTGATGTCGTTTACACTGACTTCAGTAAAGCATTTGACTCTGTGAACCATGATCTGCTCTTTAAGCTAATTCGTATAGGATTTCCCTCCGCTTTTTTGTGTTGGATTTCGTCATATCTAAAAGACAGATCCCAACGGATCTTGCTTCATCAGGTGTGCCTCAAGGTAGCCATCTTGGCCCCTTACTTTTTACATTATTTATTAATGACCTCCCCGCTACCTTGTCATCTCTCATATTCTTGTGTATGCTGATGATGTGAAACTTATTCTGACTTACAAAGACCTCATTTTCTCATTTTCATCGCCTGCAGGATTATCTGAACTGCATGCAACCTTGCCTTATTTAGGGACGTATACGATTGACAATGTGCCATTGCATCGTATATCGACTGTTGAAGACCTTGGGGTTCTTTTTGATTCCAAATTGAACTTTAACCTTCACATATCTAGTATTGTCAATAAGGCCAAGGTATTACTTGGATTTATTAAACGTTGGTCCAAGGAATTTAATGACCCTTATGCCACTAAGCTTCTTTACACTGCTCTAGTACGCCCTGTTCAGAAGCAATTCCTTCTTTTTGTTCTACGTGGTTTAAGCTGGCTTGCCATCGTACTCTAGTAGACTGATGCTTATAAACCTTCCTTCCTTAGTACATCGTAGGACGGTTCTTGGAGTAGTTTTTCTCCACAAGTTGGTTATCGGTGAGGTTGACTCCTCTGCCCTCTTAGGTCGCCTTAATTTTTCAGTTCCTTGTAGACCAACAAGGAATTATTTGCCGCTCATATTGGCCAGATGCACAACCGATTACGCTTTGCACAATCGTTTTCGGGTCATGTGCAGACATTATAACGATCTTTCACATTTACTTTCGACAGGGCTCTCTCTCTGTTCTATCAAATCTATTCTTTATAATTATATTCGGCGAAATCTCTGACCACTTACTGCTGTGAGTTGGGGCATAGCTTGCCGGACTGGCATTTAAAATTTCCCCCACCGGGTTGGAGATTTCCCTCTTTTTATAGCCTGTACCCAAAGGGTGAAAGGCTATACTAGTTTTGTGCGCATGTATGTAACACACAGAAGGAGGCGTGGCAGACCCCACAAAGTATATATATTCTTGATCAGGATGAGAAGACGAGTCGATATAGCCATGTCCGCCTGTCTGTCTGTCCGTCTGTCTGTATGAGCGCAAGGATCTCAGTAAGTACAAGAGCTAGGATAACCAAAATTGGTATCCAGGTTCCTATAAGCCCTAGGCAGAACGAGTTTGTTTATTTTTTCTGATACACCCCCCCCCCCCACTCCCCCGCAATACCTATTTTTTCTTATAACTTCCGTAATTCTCGGAATTTTAAAATCATTTTGGTAGGTACATCCAGTTAGTACTAATGTGTCCGTGTGCCAAATTTCATCATGATTGGTCAATTCTGAAGAAAGTTATAGCCATAAGTAAAATCGCTGCTCATGCGCTGCTCATGCGCTGCCTGCAGCTCTGTCGGCAGCGCTGCCCGCAGCTGTTGTTGTTGTTGCTGCTTTTGTTCAACTTTGTGCTGCATACATACACGCATAGGTACGTGATGTAAATGTATGCTGTTTAAACTGAACATAAACATGTATTCTAATTTAATTTAATTAATTATTTTAATTAATTAATTCATTCTTTTTTTTTAATAATTTAATCTTTATTAAATTTTTTTTTTTTAATTTTTCCTTTTTGTGGAGAGTACAGGCTATTTTACTGTCGGGCTTGCTCGACTGTAGCGTTCTATCTTGTTCTTTTTCCTTTCGTCTCTCTTTCTACTTTTCTCTATTTCTGATTCTCTGTCTCTCTTTCCTTCTTTCTTTCTTTTCTCTTTCTACTTCGTACTTTTTCTAATTAGTTGTTAAATAGAATTAATTTTTCACTCTTATCTACTTTTTGTATAGTTTTTTTAGGTCTTTAATGTCTCTGACCGCATATGGCTGTGAATCGGGGCATAGCTGGCCAATTTGCAAATAAAATTCCCCCAACGTGTCGGAGGCATTAATAGACGTCATTGTACAGCTTTGTGTTAGGCTTTCTTATCTTTTATTTTGTTTAGTTTAATTTGTTATATTAAGTTTTATAATATAATCGACAGTAGAATTGTTGATATTATAAATAAAATTAAAATAAAATATTTATATATTTTTTTTTTGCCGGAAATTATTGTTTATTTGTTTATTAATTCCTAGTACTACAAGAATATTTCTAGTGCTAGTTAATAGTTATAAGTTAAGCCTATTAACACAATAAACAAGTAGAAAAGCTAAAGTCGGGTGTCCCGACTTTGAAATACTCTGTACATATGTTTACAATAATTATAGAAAATAAAAAAAAAATTAAGAAAATTAAAAAAAAAATGTGGATCGATTTTACCTCCTCGGTATTCGAACTCACGTAAAGGGTGTATAATTGCACATATACAAAGCAATTGCGTCTATGTGAGTGTATGATGCTTATGAGCATCTATTCGTGTCTGTGTAAACATGTTTGCAGTCAACCAAAGCATCAGCATCAAGAACAGCAGCGGGCAGTGCTTGGGCAGCGCTGGAGCAGTAAATATATTTGTGGCTACAACTTCTTGTTAAATCGGTCTATCATGATGAAACTTGGCATACGGACAAATAATAACTAACTGGGGGTATTTGCAATTGAGTTCGAAATTCCAAGAATTACGGGAGTTACGATCGGCTGATTTTTGATAAACTCACGCACAGTTTCGATGGAATTTTCGGTGATCACGAATTTTGATTGGCCCACATGTTGATCATCCTTTATGTACTCACGACCACTTTGAAAACGTTGAAACCACTCGTGCACTCTGTTACGGGATAGGCAATCATCGCCATAAACTTGTTCTATCAATTGAAACGTTTCGGTTAAAGTTTTACCAATTTTAAAACAAAATTTAATGTTGGCTCTTTGTTCGAAGCTGTTGGTTAGCCGTGACGGAAGAGGTCGTTCGGGCAACGAAACTTGGCACTTAAGTGGGGAAGCACTAGATATACAAGTAGTTAAAGAGTATAAATATCTAGGAGTAACGGTAACTCAAAGCTTCAACTTCACTGCCCAGTGCTTTTGTGCTTTATGCTGCCAGTATTATGAAGAAGTCGAAAAACTACGGAACATCCCAAATTATGAAATTCGCATAGAAACGGGATTGTCGATTCTACAAGTATATACTGAAGCACTGTTGCCGAAAATAATAACAAATTTCCTGCGGAGAGATTAAAGTCGATTCTTTCAATCTTTGTTAAACCTGGCCAGCGAATGTGTCGTTGCTATGGAAATATCGGGCTCTACCACTTGGGACTTAAACAATTTCGATGTCGCTACTAGGATGAAGTTTCTCCAAGCAAGTCAAAGTGACACGAGAAGGAAAACAATTTCAATTTGTGATCTGTACAATCTCGAAGCCAGAGAAAATGTTATACACTTCATTGGCACATTGGTAAGGTTTCACCACCTACAGATGAATATGGAATAGACTATAGATATCTCATTGGACTACATTAACAAACAATCTAAAACATACACTAAGTTATAGGGATTGCATACAGGTAGGAGATTTGTAATTTAAAATAAAAAATTAAAGGAATAAATGTAATGGAATAAATATAATGGCAGACGTGGTAAATTAATTGTGGATTACATTTTTCTGTAATACCAACATCCGAACTTCACGGCCAACGACCTGGTATCTAGGGAAGACCCGGGCAGCCAGGTGTAGTAACTTATGGGGTCAATAGTTAAAATATAGCTTTTTATACCCCGTACCCAAAGGGTATACTAGTTTAGTGCGAATGTATGTAACACATAGAAGGAGACGTGGCAGACCCCACAAAGTATATACATATATTATTGATCAGTATGACAAGACGAGTCGATATAGTCATGTCCGTCTGTCTGTATGAGCGCAAGGATCTCAGAAAGTACAAGAGCTAGAATAACCAAACTTGGTATCGAGGTTCCCCTAAGTCCTAGGCAGGTCAAGTTTATTTTTGAAGTGAAACTTCTTACTTCACGGGTTTGTCTGCTGGATCGGCAAAGTTTTGTGTGACGTCATCCAGACCCACAAGCATGGTAACAGACGCACATAAATGAACAGCAAGTAGACCAGCTGGCGAAATTGAAATTATTGATGTAAACAAAAGCTGTGGTATGAAGTAGCATGAATGAACCCAACAGTATAATCTGAAATGTAAGCAAGCTTGGTGTTCTCATTTTGATCATATTTCACAACTCATGGCTGCACATTCTTTTCATTAGGGCCTGGGCCCTAGCGCTGCAAAATAATCGATGTTGATTGAGCCTGTCCGATTTTTTTTTGCGATTTTTCCAAAAATTAAATCGATTAATCGTAAAACTAACCAAAATTAATTTTAATTGTCGTTTTCGAGGAGATAAGACAATTTCAGTGACATTTTACAGTAATAATGTGCTAATTCAGGTATGCATTTGACTTAATACGGTCAATCATCTCTCCAAACACAAATCGATGTTTAACAAAAAAATAAACATGCAGATACACGATTCTGATGTAAATGTATGCTGTTGAAACTGTACATGAACATGTCTCCACTATCGTATATATCACCATCATTTTGATATATAAATTTGAATAAAATGCAAGTCATTCGCTTACATGGTGTATTTATTTTACTTAAGCACTAATATCACTCAAATTCCCATAATTAATACATAGAAAGATTTACACTTTAAATATGCTCTTCTTATGGTCTTAAAGCTGATCACAGGCGTTGCTCTGCTATTAATCCAAATAAGTTCATATAAGGTAAGAGAAGCGGGTAAAGCGCCACATGTACCTGAGTAATTCAGTAATTATATGAAGTAAAATTAAAATGCTTCATTAAGATTTGAATGATATAGACCACTATCGGGTTTCCTGTCGATTTTTTCAGGCGCTGGCGTATCATAACATAGGCAGCTATTGTGAACAATATATAGAATGCTATTAAACAGCTTACGGACCATAAATAGTTCATGTTATTAAATCCCAGAAAGTTTAATAGAAACTGAGATTTTTTGAACATACAAAATAGTTCGGTTTCAGCACAAATCGTATCAGCTCGTCCAAAATCATATAGGGCTGCGACAAGGCCCTCCATGCCATGACGCAAATAGCTAAGAGACATCAAAAATCGCATAAAGGGCGAAATGTATGTTTCTTTGGAACCGTAACCAATTCCATAAGTAGATAGTAATATTAGTGGCACAGCCATGACAGGTCCCATAAACATTCCATTCTTATTAAGAAAGAAACAGAATATTATTAATCATTACGAATTATTTCCTTATAATTTACGATATAATTAACTTACTACCAAGCAGAGACGGCTGGAGACCATGAGACCAAAACTGTCCGAAGTCATCGCTGTAAGAAACGCAATGGTAAAAAATCGGACAAATCTGAACCATTCCAAAGGCTGATTTGTGGATAAATATACAATAGTCAAATAAATGCTTGAAAGTACGAACAGAGAGGGCAATTTGGCAGTTATCATTGCAACGTAGTATGAGCTCAGATGATACCACTGATTATAGTATTCACGTTTTAAAAGATTTATCTCATTTGGAACTGTGAAGTATGTTGTAATAGGATTAGGGCACAAACAGGCAATTATAAAAAGCTTACATTGCAACAAAACCGGCATCATTGGTAAATATAGATATGCTATAATAATTGTGAAGCTAAATCCAAAGTTGAAAAGGGCCTTTGAAGCATCGTTCCCAATGTCCATATAAAGGCCACTTACAATTAACGCCAATATAATGTTCATGTAGAATTTCATCTTAATGTGGGACTGTAAAGAAAATCACTGAATTATTTGCTAACATATTATATTCAGAGTTTCTTAAGGCGCACCTTGTCCCGCCACATTTGCAACAACATTCGCATTAGCAACAGCTTGTACTGCATCCACCAACTAGATTTGGCCTTTAAAAGATTTGGGTTGATTTCCTTTTCAAAGTGCTCTACTTCAGGATAAGATGATGCACCTGATGTGGTGTCTGATTTGCTGGGTGTGTTTTTTCCATTTTCTGCTTCTGATGTCCAACTTGAGACCTTTCCGTTATTAACTGCTCCTACCATGTGGCCCACGATGCTTCCATACTCGTGGCAGGCCACTTCGATTATAAAATCAGCGGGGTTGTATGTGAGAGGACAGGAAATACCTAAATGCTGCATGTACGGAACAATGTTGGCCCCTTTGCCTTGATAGATGCATCGACCAGCCGCCAAAACATATACTTTGTCAAACATTTCAAAAATTTTTGCCGATGGCGTGTGTATTGAGCAGATGATGGTACGTCCGGCATGTGCAATGCGACGCAATAAAGCAACGCACTGGGAGCTGGAGAGATCATCTAACCCGCTTTAGAGAACACATGAAACGAAATATTAGTAATGATAAAGATTACAGCTGGGTTTGTGATCATCATAGAACTTACGTGGTGGCTTCGTCTAAAAAAACTACGGGTGGATTATCAATAAGTTCAAGAGCGACGCTCATACGCTTTCGCTCACCGCCAGACAACATCTTGGCCTTTGTGTTTTCAGCGTTCTTCAAGCGTAACATCAGTAATATTTCATCGATCTACATTGAGGAAAATTAAAATCTTTAGTTATGCATGAAAAATAATTGTATTATTATTACTCACCACCTCCTGCTTTTGTTCTGTACTCAATTCATTACCAAGCTTTAAGTTTGCTGCCAAAACCATAGTTTCCCGAATTGTAAGCTGAAGATCGAGGGCATCTGCATGTTGCATGATATATCTGGACATTTTTCGAAAAATACGCATATCACGTGGACTATTGTTTACCAAAATTTCGCCGCCAGTTAAATTAGAGCTGAACGGGTAATCGAAAAAACCTGTATTATGTCTGTATAAAAATACTATGAATGATGATGTATGTTACCCAAATCCCGCAAGCAAGTTTAACAGAGTTGTTTTTCCGGATCCTGAGGGACCCATTATAGCTGTGAGTTCATGCGAACGGAATTCGCCGCTAACGCCATGCAAAATGGGTTTCGTATTTCGTGCTAGATGTAATAAAAGATGTATTCATCATCTGTCAGCAACCTATTTATAGATGTTGAACCTACCATTTCCTAACTCTGGCACTTCGCATGTCAGACCTGTGAACTCCAAATTAATAGCAGGCCAGGCAGGTAAATATTTAAGGCCTTTCACTGAGTGAAGTTCACTTGAATTTTCAAGTAATTCAACACTGATGGCGTTGATATCACTGCTATAGTTGAGTGAGTTATCACTCCGGGAGCTGCTTAAATTCGCCTGTAAATTCGCCATTAAAACTACATTTACTGTCCATACTTTAGGACTGCTCCACAATTCCCACATTGGAAAATATTATGGCAGAGGTTTAATCAAATCATACTCTTACCATGCAAATCAATTGGCAGCGATGCACTTTTTGATTTCGACTGATATATAGAAGACGCTACAGGATGTGTCCAGAAGCAAGCTGGTTTTGTAAAAAAAAAATAATAAAAAGGAAAATATAATGATTGAGGTTAGTCGTCGAAATATTTTTAAAAATGGTATATTAGGTTTGTGCAAAGTATGTAACAGGCAGAAGGAAGCTTCTCCGACCCCATAAACGATATACATATGTATATTGTTGATCAGCATGACAAGATAAATTAACCTAGACATTACCGTCCGTCTGTCCGCCCATTTCAATGAACGCCTGGATTTCGGAAACGTTTGAGCTTACATTAACCAAAGTTGGTATGTAGACGCTCCTAGTCTCTAGTAGAGTTGAGCCCGGCGCGTGTTTTCGAAGTGCCACGCTGGGAAAGCTACAGTCGAGCAAACCCGACATTAAAATACCCTGTACTTTTTACAAAAAAGGAAAATTAAAACAAGTAAAAAAGCTAAAGTCGGGGGTCCCGACTTTGAAATACTCTGTACATATGTTTACAATAATTATAGAAAATAAAAAAATTAAGAAAATTAAAAAAAAAAAATTGTTCGATTTTACCTTTGTCGGTATTCGAGCTCATTTACATAGCAATAGCGGTTGTGTGAGTGTATGTATGCCTATGCGCATCTATTCGTGTCTGTGCAAACATGTGTGCAGTCAACCAAAGCACCAGCATCAACAACAGCCGCGGGCAGCGCTGCAGCAGCAAATATATTTATGACTATAACTTCTTGTTAAATAGGTCTATCATAGTGAAACTTGGAATACGGACACATAATAACTAACTGGGTTTTAGTTCGAAATTCCAAGAATTACGGGAGTTAGAGAAAATCGCGATTTGCATGGGAGAAGGGGGAGGGAGGGAAATTCCAAAATATAAATTTTCTGCGTATTCACACAAGGCATCTTCCTAGGTCTTATAGTCTCCGAGATATAGGCGATTATACGAATGGAAAATCGGGAAAACCCCCATAGGGGGGAAGTTGGGGGGAAAATCAAAAAAATAAAACAAACTCGTATAGAATACACACATAAGGCATCTTTGTGCAAAATTTGGTGTCTCTATCTCTTATAGTCTCTGAGATCCAGTCCGTATGAACGGACGGACAGACGGACAGACAGACAGGGCTAGATCGACTCGTCTCGTCATGCTGATCAAGAATATATATACTTTGTGGGGTCTGCCACGCCTCCTTCTGCCTGTTACATTTTTCAGCTCCCGCAAACATAATATACTTCTGTACATTTCATGTACAGAGTATAACAAGAGAGAACGCTACAGTCGAGCAAGCCCGACAGTGTAATACCCTGTACCCAGGTAAACTTTCGTCACTGAGTTATATGCGCCCATAGCAGCAGCAAAAAGAGGAAGAAGAACAGCGAACTTGTTGCTGCAGTTTGGGGGGTTGTACTGGCGAGAATTTGTTATACCCTGTACCCGTAGGGTAAAAAGGGTATATTAGGTTTGTGCAAAGTATGTAACATGCAGAAGGAAGCATCTCCGACCCCATAAAGTATATATATTCTTGATCAGCATGACGAGAGAAATCGATCTAGACATGTCCGTCCGTCTGTCCGTCTGGATGAACGCGAGGATCTCAGAAACTATAAAAGCTAGAATAACCAAAGCTGGCATCCAGATTCTCCTATGTCCCAGAAAGGAGTTTATTTTATTTTTTTTAATTTTCCCCCCCTTCCCCCGCTACAGAATTTCGTCAATAGTTTCAAATTTTATTCAATTCTAAGAAAAGTTATTAGCGAAACAAATTCTCGCCAGTACAACCCCCCCCAAACTGCAGCAACAAGTTCGCTCTTCTTCTTACTGTTTTTGCTGCTGCTATGGGCGCATATAACTCAGTGACGGAAGTTTACCTCGGTACAGGGTATTACACTGTCGGGCTTGCTCGACTGTAGCGTTCTCTCTTGTTTTGCTAATAACTTTTCTTAGAATTGACCGATTGAATTCCCAAAAATAAAATAAACTCGTCCTTTCTCGGACCTAGGAGAATCTGGATACCAACTTTGGTTATTCCAGCTTTTATAGTTTCTGAGATCCTCGCGTTCATCCAGACGGACGGACAGACGGACGGACATGTCTAGATCGATTTCTCTCGTCGTGCTGATTCAGAATAAATATACTTTATGGGGTCGGAGATTCTTCCTTCTGCATGTTACATACTTTGCACAAACCTAATATACCCTTTTTACCCTACGGGTACAGGGTATAAAAATTTAATTAAATAAACAATTAAGGAATGCTAAGTCGAACAGGCTCAACTCTTAAATACACTGTACCACCCCACAAAAAAGAATTTAAATTAAGTTAATTAAATTAATTAATAAATATAAATATATATAATAAATTAATAAATAATAATTAAATTAATTAATAAATTAATTAATTAATAAATTAATTAATTTAATTAATTTAGTTAATTAACTACATTAAATATGAAATATTCCATACATGCATACATACATTTACATTTATGTACATCAGAATCGTGCATATGCGTGTTTGTGTACTTGTACATATGTATGTATGTATGTGTGCATTGGGCCTGGTTATATGGCTATAACTTTCTTTCTGATCAACCTATTGTAATTATTGTACTCCCGTAATTCCTGGAATTTCGAACTCAAATTTTGCAAATACTCCCAGTTAGTGATTATGTGTCCATATGCCAAGTTTCATTATGATAGACCGATTTAACAGGAAGTTATAGCCATAAATATTTATTGCTGCCCAAATGCTGCTGTTGTTGATTTTGGTGCTTTGGTTGACTGCAAACATGCTCACACAGCACGAATAGACGCGAATAGTCATTCATACTAGAGATGGGTATGGGCCGGCTATTTTCGGCCCGATACGACACGACCACGAAATGAACTTTTGGAAACACGCACGTGCACGCACGACGAAAATATTTTTAAACACGGCCCAATACGAACTTGTTATAACCATTAAATGTAAAAACGAAAAATATATACATATTAAGTACTCCGATTTTGTATTAAAGAATATTTACTCGTCTACATATATTTGAGCTAAGAGAAGCCGAGCTCGTCGCTTATTTAAAATTGCTCCAGAAGTGGCTTGTTTGATATTTGCCTTAGCAATTCCAATTTTGTATAGCCTGTACCCAAAGGGTGAAAGGCTATACTAGTTTTGTGCGAATGTATGTAGGGTGACAAGCCGAGTCGATATAGCCATGTCCGTCTGTCCGTCCGTCTGTATGAGCGCAAGGATCTCAGAAGGTGCAACAGCTAGAATAACCAAACTCGGTATCCAGATTCCCATAAGCCCTAGACAAGTCAAGTTAATTTTTTTTATTCTGATACACCCCCCAGTCCCCCGCAATTCGTGTTTTTTTTCCATAACTCCCGTAGTTCTTGGAATTTCGTGTCTGTATGCCATGATGATAGGTCAATTCTGAAGAAAGTTATAGCCATAAATAAAATCGCTGCCCACGCTCTGCTTGTAGCGCTGCCCGCAGCTGTTGTTGTTGTTGCTGCTTGGGTTCAACTTTGTGCTGCATACATACACGCATATAAACACGCAGAGACACGATTCTGATGTAAATGTATGCTGTTGAAACTGTAAATGAACATGTCTATAATTTAATTAATATAATTTTTTTTATTATTAATTCATTTTTTCCTTTTTGGTGGGAGGTACAGGGTATTTAAGAGTTGAGTTTGCTCGACTTTAGCATTATTTTCTTGTTTTTAATCATTTAATTTTTTTTTTAAATTTTGTTTTCTTTTAATTTTCCTATTTTGTGGAGAGTGCAAGCTATTTTGCTGTCGGGCTTGTTGGACTGTAGCGTTCTCTCTTGTTTTTATTACAATAGTTAATTTTTTTTCGTGTTATATTCGTGTATATACACGCACGAGCATGTTCTGTCGTGCCTTTTTAGCTCAACACGAACACGTACGGCCACACAGGAAATCGGAATTTGCAACATTAACACAAGGGCCAACGCGTGTCACGAAGTGCCACAATCGAAAACACGCCCAACTCTAATTCATACACTAACATAGACGTAATTGCTTTGTCAATGTGCAATTATATACACTTTAGTGTGTTCGAATACCGGGAGAGGTAAAATCAATCAACAATTTTTTTTTTTTTTCTTAATTATTTTAATTTCTATAATTAATCTAAACATATATACAGCGTATTTCAAAGTCGGGACACCCGTTTTTAGCTTTTTAAATTGCTTTTTTTTTATTTGGTCACCCTCTCTGCTACAGAAATTCGTCAATACTGCCCACATTTCGAAAGCAGCATAAACCAAACACACGCAATCTATATACATACATATGTACATATGTACATACATACAAGTATAAACTTTTGTTTCGAATTTCATCCAAATCGGCTAGTTCTAAGAAAAGTTATAAGCGAAACAATTTCACTCCAGCATCAAGTTCTTCTCAGAGCCGAAAATTTGTCTTGTTCTCTCTTGTTTCTGATTAATTTACGCGATAAACATAGGGATTATAGTACAAGTCTCAATATATTTAGGCCGTTTGTTAAGCTCTTACAAACGATTTTTATCGTTCCCAAAGGGTAAGAATTTGGCAGCGGGGCAGATCCCATAAGGTATTCCATAGAATTCGCGTATATAGAATATGTACTTGTATTAATATTCTCAATCAGTAAAGTTGATATCACCATACCCGTCTGTATCAATCACGAAAAGTATAATAGCTAGAATAACCCACTATTGACGATCTCATAAAAAATAAGCCCCTGTTTTCCAAGATCTATGAGACTATATAACAACTTTGGCCGCTGTCGAATGTATTGTCACCATTATATCGATTCGTCTTGTCTCAGATTGATACATATTAGTATACCCATACTTTATACAATTATAAATGCTTTCTCCTGTTTGTTTCATACATTTTCACATTCCTAATATCGCCTTTCCAGCCTCCGGATACAGAGAATAAAAACTTCAAAGTTCAACTTGGTTCCGCAAAATAAACAAGAAAGCAATGCTAGAGACGAGCGGGCAATTCCCTTAAAT